TAAGAAAATAAAACTGAAAGGAGTAATACTTGCTTAGCATTTGCTTTTAAAGTGTTCCATAAAGTATATCATCTGACTACAACAGCACTCCATTCCTCTGCAGCCTAAAAATAAATCACTTAATTTATTCCTAGATATTTTTTATTAAGTGACTGGGAGTAGGTGGCTTTATAGTAAGTAAATTCCTGACATAAAGAAGTTTACCTGCAGAAAATGTGGTCCATCCCAAAATGATACTTGCAATTTAAGAGACGTATGCTTCTGTTTTATTCTCAACATTGTTTTCTCGCACAAACCAAACAGCAAAATTCACTCACATAAGGAAATAGGTTGGTGTATTTTTTAAAACCATGCATTACATTTTCTAAAATTATGAATTTCAGTTTGATAGGGTCATATATTTTGTAAGTTATTCAGTAAGTACAATATAAACTAATGCCTTAACTATATGACACTGTATTTGATCATGATCTCTTTAATCACAAATGGTTGAAACTTGGCATGACAAAGATGCCCTCCTAGGAAACATTTACATGAGGTTAACTCAGCTTTTTCCTTCTCGAAAACATCTACCAAGGCTTCTGGGAGATGTTAAGTAATACATGATTTTTTAAAGAATGGTGTGTATAAGTGGCAGTATAAGTATATTAAGCAATTAGTAGCAGTCTTAATCAGATCTTCCTTTGATCTAAGCAGTAGAGTTTATAACCTCTGTAAAAACTGCCACAGAACAGTTCTGACTAACCCAAACCACAACTGGGAAGGCCCGTTAACAGTGCAGAGGGATGGATGTCACAAGGGATTTTTTTCTTCTCTTTTTCTAACATTACAATAGCTTTTTTTTTTTACTATTTTATTTATTTATTTGACAGAGAGAGACATAGCGAGAGCAGGAACACAAGCAGGGGGAGTGGGAGAGGGAGAAGCAGGCTTCCCGCCAAGCAGGGAGCCCGATGTGGGGCTTGATCCCAGGACCCTGGGATCATGACCTGAGCCGAAGGCAGACACTTAACCGACTGAGCCACCCAGGCGCCCCACAATAGCTTTTTTTAAACTGAAAAAATCTAAAACCAAGGCATAAAAATGTCACATACTTAACTGGCATTTACTATGATTTTTAGGAATCTATAACTGCATCCAGTGGCAAGATGAAAAAGAGAAACTGTTCATGCAACTTAAAGAAAAACAGAGAGTCCAAAAGTAAACCATCACTCTTAAAACTCTGCTCAACAACTTCAAATAATGAGAATATATGTTCCTGGATAGAAGTAACTAGAACCAACTCATAGGGGACCAACGTGGTAAGTGCAACAGGTTGTGATCAGCCAGCCCTTTTAAATATCCACATTCCTCAGGACTTTTACCATCCCTTTTCTATTAATATTGTCTCCAAACTCCCATGGCATATAGTCACATAATTTTATGTACTACCTAATGCACTACTTTGCAAAACTCAAATCCATCTTTTCTTCTCTATTCTCACTGCCATCATGTTGATATAATCCTTCATAATTTCTCACCTGTTCTGCTACAACAGCTCCCTAACTGGTCTCCCTATGTGCAACCTCATCCTTCTCCAGCCCATTCTTAATACTGTAGCTGGATGCAAATCAAAACCCAATCTGATCAAGTCTCTTCCCAGCTTAATTGCCTCAAGGGTTTGCCATCACCTAACCTACTTGGCTACTTCATTTTTCTTTATTACATTTATCACCATCTGACATACTATATTACTTGTTTGCTATCCCCGTCCCAACTAAAATTAAGTCCCTAAGGGCAGAGTTTTTGTCCACCGCTATATGTTGCACAGTAAGCACTGAAATAGTCACACATGAATGAGTGAATGAGTAAATGAATGAATTAATGGACTGATGACCTGCCAGGGCCCTCCTCTTTTTACTTCACTCCCACCTCTACCAATACTGAATTAATTACCTAAATACAATATGTACTCTCATGCCCCCTTGCTTTGCCATATGCTATTACCTTTGCCTGGAACTGTCTTCACCATCCAATCTGCCACACCATCATCCATATTTTGAAACTGTCTCCAGAAAGCTTCCCCTGAACCCAAGGATAATCACTCTTTTTTTCCTTTGTGCTACATCTGTACCTTTGTTATAGCAGCTCTACTCAAACTGTACTGAAATGTGTATCTCCCTTACTATTGTGAATTCTTTGAGGCCAAGGATAATTATTCATCTCTCTGCCTTCAGTGCCTAGAACAATACTTGTCATAAAGCAACTACTCTATAAACATTAGATAAATTAACATACGTGTGACTATCCTGTAAGGGAAATGAAAACATGAAGTTTCAAGAAGTCACTCCTTCAATTCCATGATGATAAACCAGCCCTGAGATAGAAGAATTACAACCAATGACATCATCCAAGGTAATGAGAGAAAAGGAGTTGTACAAATAACACACACCACCAAATGATTCCAAAATAAGACATACAGTCACACTCACACTTTACTAGATTTACACACTGGGTCCTTGCTCCATCATTTGTCTTCCCTTAAGATTCAACTCTGCTGCTGGCAAACTGAGGCCCAGCTAAGCAGGAGGAAGTTGAAGGGAGACCCTGGTTCCGCATTAACAATATAGTAAGTAGAATCACTGTCCGAGGGAGATCACTCTTCCATCTAACAAAGTTTTTATGTTCCCTCATATTTTGATTCAAACTTCAAAACAGTTGTACAGGACTAGATTTTACCACTAGCCACACCTAACTCTGAACCAAAGACCAGAGCTTTCTACCCGTAATCTACACCAACAATACGTTACAGTTGTGCCTTCTGTCTATGGAGTAACCACACAAACTAGTCACCTTTAGCCATGGGAAGCCTCATTCGTCACCCCAGTGTGTCTTATAAACATTACTATTTTTCTCTGACTGCTACAGACCAAGGCCCCTAAATCCAACTACAAGGAACACCTTACCAAAAAAAAATGAACACCTGACCTACCTACTTAGTTCTAAGAATATGAACACGCATAAAAATGTACAATCACAGAGATACATACAAATGAATAGACATAAATGTACATGAAGCCATTTGGGAAAAAAAAAGTTTTAAACCCAATGATGGCTAATATAACATCAAGTGTAGCCTGAGGCCAAGATGTGATCCTTGATTCCTCCCTCCCCCATCATTCAGTAAACAAGTTATAAAAAATTTATGTCTTAATATTTTTTCAAATAGGTTTGCCTACTCCCAATATTATGCCTCAGTTCAGAATGGCAGTATTTGTCATCAGAGTAATAGTCTCCTAATTGGCTTCCCTGTCCTTGGACTCAATGAAAATTGCACCTACCATTTCATTTGAAGGGTTATATAACCGGCAATGCACTAAGCACTTGATCACTGAACTCTGTATTGTTGAATTCTCACAGCAACACTGCAAAGCAGGAATTACTGTCCTCATTGTCACAGACAAGGGACTGAAGCTCTGAAAAAGGTTAAGTGACTTGCCCAAGGTCATACAACTAGAATTATGTAGTGGAAATTCAAACTCAGGTCTTGGTTCCCAGCGCTTAACCTTCTTCAATTGGTTCCCCAATGTGACCTTTCTAAAAGGTAAATGTAATCACGTTTTGCCCCACATAAAATCCTGCAAACAAGACTTGCCTCCAGCCCTCATCCTCTGTTATTCTCACCCCCTCCCACCACATTGAACTCCCAACAGTTTCCTAATCTGACTTTCACTGCTTTACCTGTGAACACACTGTTTTTCTGCCAAGAACACTTTTCTCCTTTGGCAGGTTACTTCCAACCCAAACTTCAAGATTTACTCAATCCTTACTCTCGGAAGCCTCCCCCCCGACATACAGACCTAAAACTGGGGTAAGTGACCATTTGCTATGGTTATCAGCTAAATTTCTTATCACACTGTATTATGACTTTACCTTACTAGGCTACTAGTTCTTAAGTAAATACTGCATTTTTAAATCTCTGTATTCCTGGTAGAGTATATAACTAGCAGAGGAAGGGCTCATAAATGTGGAATTACTGAAAGAATTCATCATAAGTAGTACGAGTTAAGAACTTGGCCCTAAAGTTAATATGACGTACTTTGGAATTCTAACTTGCCACATCTGAAGCAGGCTTCGTAAATCTGTTTTATTTTTCATCTGTAGATAACTGTACCTACCTCAGAGTTTGGAGAGGAGTAAAAGAAATAATAGACTTAAGACAATCTCTGGCACACTGGCAGTACCATTAAACATTAGCAACACTTTTTCTCACTCTCAAAGTTCATCCACGTGACAAAGCCACATCTCAGAAAATATCTTCTCCGGTAGCTTCCATCAGCATTTAAGATTTCTCCAAAAAGTAGTTAAGTCAAGATCTCTTAAAAAAAATCCTCATGCACAGGCAAGGGTCTTTCAGCTTCTAGTTACACCAGAGTTTAGTTACCACCACAACCTAAATCATTAACTAGTGTCTTAAGTTTTTTGCTTCTTACCCATCCCTCACTTTCCTCCCTCAAAGTCAAAGACCATGCCCCTAAGCAAATGGAAACCTGCCCCACAGAAACCAGTCAGCACCTTCCTCCAAGAACCATCACATCTCCCCACACCCAGGCTTGCGCGAATTAGGAGAGAGCCATCATCTAGTGCAAACTTAAATCTTCTTGGAGGATCATGTTAGAAACCTCTCTATCCATTCGAAGACCTTATCCGTAAGTATTAATTCAGGATAATGAATTCCTGGCATTAAGAATCCAAGAAAACGGGTCCCCCTGAAGCCTTCCCCAGTAAGAGTTCTTCAGATTTGTTATTCTCAAATAGTGACCAAAATCCACCATTCCATCCCGCTCCCTTCCTGCCAGAGTCCAGGGTCTCGTCCTCTCTCGAAAGACGCGTCTTCACTTTCAGGGACAGGATGCCTTCCTCCCACCGGTGTCACCTCCCTTCCCACCTTGCCAAGCCCTCCCGCAGAACAGGCCTGGCCTGGTCTCGCCGCCAGCCAGCTCCACAGAACCGCTACTCACCGCTTCTTGGGGATGGTGCCTGACTCCTGCGCGGCGGGAGCGGCAGTGGGCGCCGCCGTGGCCGCCGACGCGGCTCTCCGCGCTTTGCACTCATTGGTACTCACAGACTCCTGGGGCCGGCCCAGGAGATGGCCCGAGAGAACCCGGAGCCTCCGCCCGGCGCGGTCCCGGTCCCGGTCCGCTGCACAGCCGGAGCCCCCGCCCGCGCCCACGCCCGTCCCACCCGCTGCAGCCGCCGCCTCCGCCATGGCTTCCGCCTTGTGCTGCCGCCCAAGACCGCTGGGCGCAGGTGAAAGGTCACTCAGAGCGGCGCCCGGCGCGACCATTCGCTGCGGCGCATCCCGGCAGCCACCGCGGCGACTGGGCGGCGGGTGCCATGCGCCGGGAGCTTCACCATCTCAGCTCCCGCCCACCGCGCCCGCCGGCCCTCCGCGGTCACGCCTCGGACGGCGAGCACCTGCCGAGCAGGTGAGTTTGAGCTGTCCCCTGATTGGCCCAGACCGGGCTGGGCTGAGCTGGACCAGATTCCAAACCACAAGCGTCCCGAGATGGCCTAGTACCCTGGGTGGTGACCTCGGGTGTCTCCTGGGCCTCCAGAGTAGCTTTCCAGGGCAGACGCCTAGGACCAGGGTGCTCTGGACCTGACAACTTGAGCAGCGCCATTCTTCTTCTGAATGAGCTCCTAGAACTCCCCGTGGCCCCTCCGCGTCACTAAAGTAGCTCAAAACTGACTCGTTGCCTGTAACCATTAGAGCAAATAGCTGTCATTTTCAAATCGCCTACTTCGTGACTGGCACTGTGCGTAATGCTAGATCTCAAGTAATCTCCATTTTACAGATTAAAAAAACTGAGGCTCAGAGACACTAACTTCCCTGAGGACGTAAAGCTGAGTTGCAACCGAGATTTTCTTTCCATTCATTACTGAATGCTATGTCCTTCCTTACTTTAATGGAGGCAGAGTTTTTATTGCTACAGATAGAATTACCCAACAGCTGTTCTTGGGACTTCTGGTTTTTCTACAAATTGACTTTCTGGATAATAGCACTTGGTGAAAGTAGGGGATCTCATAGAGCAGTACTCCACAACCGTTAGCCAGTGGATTAGATAGGCTTTTATAAAGCACCTTGCAGACCTAACCATCAGAAGTAAAGTTCCTTTTTCCAAAATGTGCAATTCAAAGATAAGTCTTGGGAATGGTAAGAGAAAGGGTTGCCATAGGCATTCCAAGCCCAATGAAGTCACCTTCTGGAAAGAAGGTTATTTGGAAAAATAACCACCTTCTTTCTAACACAGGCTCTGTGAAAGAGTTAAGACATTCCAGGAGCTGTCTGACTAAAATAAAAGAACTACTTAATAGTTTTGAGAAAATTCAGGCAACAATAAGAAAGACTTGATTTAAATGCCAGATCTCCAGATCTTAAGAGATAGTTCAGCATTAAATATCTAGTCTAGCTCTAGAATCACTGAGCCCAACTCCTGTTTAGCTGCTCCTTTTCTCCATTCCGTCTTTCGGATGGAGGAGTGAAGAAAAGGTCCAGGAGGAGTCGATTGCTGAGTGCTCTAAAGACAAAGACTCCTCAAGCTTCAGAGTTCAGCCACTCTAACCCTCAAACTTCTCACACCCTTTCTACATGCCACTAGAACAGCATTAAAATTTGCTTGCAATCATGTAAAATTGGTATTTTTCTTGCCAAAATGATATTATAAGCAACAACTTCCTCAGAATTGTTTTGGAATGAGACTGGTCTATTAGTTTTTGCTTGACTCTCGGAGAGCTTAGTCTAACACTAGGCAATAGTTAACTGATTTCTTCACTATTGTCCAAACTGAGGTATGGATATACTTCTCACCAACTCTCAGGCAAAATTTATAAATTTTGCACATATCAACAGAATAACAAAAAGCCTTTTCTCCTGGGTGATGAAAAGTTTGATATAAACCAAAATTACATACCAGTGGAAAAATTAGTGATATTTTTTCAAATATATATACAGTAAAGAAATACAGGCAGTAAAAACATATGTACCTAATTCATTACTATGTGCTATGAGATGCAAAATTATGTAAGTCAGTGCCTCATCTACATGGTATAATCAGGCTAATTAGGAGTTAGGATATATGTGTGGGGGGAGCCCAAGAACAAAAGGAATTTTAAATGGAATGGCTTATATTTGCATTTATGGTATCTTCTCTGATATGTGGCACAAGAAAAGTCTAAATAGGATAAATTAATACCTGAAACAGGTACCAAATTTACTGCACTGATTTCCATTACTTATCTACAGAGCAGCTGGTCTATTAATTTTTACTTGACTCTCAGAGAGCTTAGTCTAACACCAGACAATAGTTAACTGATTTATTCACTGTTGTCCAAATTCAGGTATGATATGCTTCTCACCAATTCTCAGGAAGCAAAATTTATAAATTTTGCATATATCAACAGAATAACCTGTTTTAAGGAATTCCCTGAATTAAGAAATTCTTGCATTTTTATACATTTTTATTATAAAATATAACACAGAGAAAAGTGAACCAAAGCATATATTATCACAGATCAAACACCCATGTAGCTTCCAACTAGACTGTGAAAGAGAACATTGCTAGCACCCTGGAAGTCCCCCTTATGCCCTCTCCCAATCCCTTAACCCTCCCTATCTGCCAAAGGTAACCACAATCCTCAGTTTAATAGTACACATTGTGTGTGTGGACAACAGTGATCAAGCACTCAGGAGAAGAGATATTCTCAAAGGTAAGTCTTTCTGTCCTAATTCAGGTATGATGGGAATTGTTTTTTTCCTTTGCTCAAACGTATTCTTTGGGGATAAAGAAATGAAGTCTTTGAGTGTGCTAAGACTCCTCCAGAGTCCCAAAGAGAGCCAAGTTTGAGCCTATTATGGCAAAAAGTCAGTGGTTTCCAGGCGCCTGTAACTCAACTCTGGCTAAATCTACTTTTGGCTGCTTCAGGACTATATACATTTTTAGGAATCCCTACTCCATACTTAGGAGAACTTACAGTGGATATAATTTGCCTGCTTAATCCTCTATAGGTGTCCCTCAGCTCTCTCTACTCAACCATTTCCCATTATTATCTTTCCTGAATGGGGGAGCCATCTTTACTCCCCACTGCCTTAGGTTGTTTTGCAAGAAAGCTACTGTGAGTTTATTACAAGTACACACACCTCTAATGCTCATGCCATCCTTATCCTTTTACAGTTAAAGAAGTTTTCTCTCTAGTCTTACTGAACCATGGCACTACCTCCCACCACCAGCAATCACATCTCCTTGAAGCCTGAAGAGGTATAAGAGCTACTTTGAATCAAATGTTTAAAATGACCTACTAACTACCCATGCAGTGTTTCCACTGTACGCCAAAATCTGCTTTTAAAGAGCAATATCTGGGGCACCTGGGTGGCTCAGTCAGTTAAGGGTCTGCCTTTGGCTCAGGTCATGATCTCGGGATCCTGGGATTGAGCCTTATGTCGGGCTTCCTGCTCAGTGGGGAGTCTGCCTGTCCCTTTCACCTCTGCCCCTCACACTGCTTGTGCTTTCTCTCTCTCAAATAAATAAATAAATAAAATCTTTAAAAATAAAACAAAATGTTGACAAATGACTATTTTCAAACAAAGATATATGGTAGCTTCTTCATGCTCTTATTTTTTTTCCTAATTTTTTAACAACCCCCCTTTGTATTTTTTCTTTCTTTTAAAACCATCTTTTTTCTATTCAGTTTTTCAACTTGAGTCAGTATAATCAGAGCTAAAAAAGAGGTATGGAAAATAGTATTCAAGGTCAGTAAAATGAGACAAAATCATGGGAAGACAACCAAAGCTAATGTCAGGAGATCCCCCTAAGAGAAATCAAGGCAGGAAACACACCTCAAAATGGAGCCCTGGGTAGAACCACTAATAGCCAGACTGCAAGGCACGAATGTAAAGATGGTCATTTGGAGGCCAACTAATTCTAAAAGGGAACCTTTTTAAAATACACTCTTTAAGAACATTGTCTGACCCTCTGAATATAGTCCTCAAAATGTATCCTTGATCCAGCTTGTTTTAAGCTTCTGTGCAAAATAATGGTGTGTTTGAAGTGTTAGATAATTTTTCATTTCTGTTTTGAAGGGATTTAAATATTAGGAGACTGTGATCCACTTCTTCTTTTCTTTTTCTTGTTTTTAAGTAGGCTCCACACCCAGCATGGAGTCTAACATGGGGCTTGAACTCATGACTCTGAGATCAAGACCTGAGCTGAGATCAAGAGTTGGACACTTTACTGACTGAGCTACCCAGGGGCCCCAATTCATTTCTTATTTCTAGAAAAAGAGGAAGGAAGGAAGGAAGGAAGGAAGGAAGGAAGGAAGGAAGGAAGGAAGGAAGGAAAGGGAAGGGAAGGGAAGGGAAGAAGGAAGGAAGGAAGGAAGGAAGGAGAAAAGGGAAGGGAAGGGGAAAGGCCAAAGCTCCTGGATCAAAAGTAATATTCTGATTTGCTTATATGTGGTTGAGGATGGGGCAGAGTTGAAATTCACAGTACTGAAATTTTAATTATAGTCAGTTCTAGCAATTTTTATGATGAGCCATATGATCCATAAGCAGCTTTTAAGCCCATCTATTTAATCACGGTTCAGGTTAGAAGAGGTTGCCCATGTAGAGTAGGGTCATAGGATGAGCCTCCAGAGAGCAAGCAGGAGGCTGGTAGAGGGGTGAACATCAATAAATCTCCCACAGGGAGACAGTGCACCAGCTGGAAAAACATGACACCAGATGCAATAATAATCATGAAGACATCTAGGCCCCACAGCAGCTGGGGGTTCTATCAAAGGGAGGGGAAGATGTTTGAGTGAATGAATCACTTTGTATACTAGTTCTGGGTGGTACTTTTAAGAGGTCAGGGAAATCAGCCTTCAGTGGCTACCCATTAACTTGCCCTTTTGCTACTTAGCTACAAGTACATTTGTAGTCAGCACCATCCCGAGTTCTAACCATGATTTTCTAAAGACAACTCCATTATCAAGGGAGTTTGTTTATTATAATCAATCTATGAATCTTCCAGCAGATGTTAAAATGTCAGGGAAAAAATTTCAGAAACCCAGAATTCCATATATGAATACATAAAACCACCAAAATAATGTGTGAAAATTCCATGTTAGCTTACAGGAATTCATAAAATATAGATCGATGACCAATTACACAACTTGCTAAAATAAAAACATATTTCAGCTAAGGCACATTTTCCTTAGAACCAATCCATAAGAACAACAGGTAACTTTCTGCTTTCCAGCTTTGAAATGGGATTATTAAAATTACCTTGTCTTTTGAAAGAATGTGATGTT